CGAGAAGGACTCAGTCGCACATCTAGTTAATGGACTTCGTCCTAAGAGCGATTAGCGAACTTAGTCTCTGGACTGGTTATCGTACGTAGCCCTTCAAACGAGGATATCCTAGTCTCTCGTTGCCGTTGCATCGTTCACGGGAGAATATCCCGGTGCAAGACTTCGTCGCTCGAGTGCCTATATCTCCTCTGCCCTCTCTTCGGTCGACCTCGTGTTTGAGTATCAATTTGGGTAGATGGCCTTTTGACTCTTGGCACGAGCGAGATCGTCAAGAGGAAAGAGTTGAGCTCGAGTCTCACGACTCAACAGGTCGTCGACCTGTGTACAAGCTCCGACTTGCTGTTTGAACGAGCAGAGCACGTACAGCAACGGGTATGAGTACTCCGTTGACGTGACCTCTCCCGACGTAAGCCCTCCTCGCGAGAGTCGAGGCAACGTCGGCCCACCTACGTCGTCTGCACGCTTGCGCATCAGCTCTTTTAAGCAATTGATGGCCCGGTACATAACAATTGCGTCATGCGTTGCGCGTTGCTCAATGCATACACAGAGCATGCAATTGTAGATAACCTTACACCGATCTAGCCTCCTTAATTGTTTCGGCGTAGTCATAGTACAGTATTTGGAATAATCGTAGCAAGCCAGTAGCTCTTCTATATAACGATATTGTTTTTCCGATTACAATGGTAATGGATAAAAAAAGATAAGGGGAAAAAATACAGGTCTATTTTGTAAATTAACAGTGGTAAAAAAATTGAAAAGTTTGTTCAAAGTAAAGCTGAAGCATTGCAAGAGAATGAATAATACTCGAAGTATTTCAATGTGAATTTTGTGAATTTTTTTCAATGTGGCAACAGAATAATAAACATTGAGACTTTGAGGGAGGAGTTATGATATAATATCTGTAATTTACTTTATCTCCTATAACTATATCTAACTCCTATAACTATATCTATAATTTAATTTATCGAGGGTATATACACTAGACTGTCCGTTATTTCCCGAATTGCTCCAATCCTCGCTCTCACCCCTTGAAAGTTCATCATTTGGCTCACAATGAAAGAAAATCACTGTCCGACCGCGATTAATTAACTCTAGATAGTGCCACACGCGTCAGCTTTTTTCCCATTTAAATAACATGGGAAAATTTAAAAAAAATGTAAATTGAAGTTTTAAACCACTTAAAATCGCTAAACCTTGGGTTTAGCGACGGTTTTCACTTCCTGGTACACCCATAATGAGTAACCAATACTTACGGGAACCCTCCAAAAAGAATTTTGGATTTTGCACACACGATATACTCAAAAAATGAAGAAAAACAGTATTTTGGCGTGGTTTTTCGATATTTTACAGCAGAACTAAGCATGAACGATCATTTTAAATATATTCACGTCAAAGTTGAGATCAAGACCTTTAATTTGAGGGTAATAAAACCTTTTTACGTTCATTAGGAAAAGCCATGTCGGAGCTGTGTGTTCGCGTGTACATGGCATACTGCACCGCCCGCGATCAGGAGCAGGCTTTTTGCCCCCTGACATCAAGAAGCTCCTGGTCAGTGCATTTATTGTACCTCACCTGGACTATGCCTGCCTCGCCTTCATCGACATTAAGACCTCGGTCAACCTCAAGCTCAGGAGACTTTTGAACACCTGTGTTCGCTACATCTTTGGATTGCGACGCGATACTGAGCTTTTGCCTTCTTACCGCAGGCTCGATTGGCTGACTCCATCGGATCGACGTAGCTACTTACCGAACGTGTTCACATATAGGATGCTTTCTACGTCTTCTCCGGAATACCTCATGGAATTTTATCATCCACCAGATAACCAGGTCCGCCGTTCAGCGCGTATTGCCGGCTGTGGAATGACTCTGGAGGTATCTTTTGCCGACACCACCACCTACAAGACTGGATTCTCCGTACGTACTGCCATCTCGTGGAATGCACTCCCGACACGTATAAGTTCAGCTGCTTCGTTGCCGATCTTCATCTTGCTGCGTGACCACATGCGGTGCTCGTCCAGTGCTCGCTGATTGTTTAACTTCTCAGCTCATGTCTGTTCAAAATTTGCTATATTGTGATCATGTCTGTATCTTTGCTATGCATTTTTATGCAAATTCTTTGCTAATTTTTTGTTTTTGTTATGCTGTGTTTTGCTACCATTTTGTAAATTTCTGTAATATGTAATTTGTAAATACTGTGCTGTCCGTATATTTTATCATACATATTCTTGTTGTAAATCTTCTGCCAATTGCCATTCGGTTATAATGACCTTGGCATTAATAAAAAGTGTTCAATCAATCAATCTCTCTCGCGTTGTGCAGATGAAAATTATTGACGATGTGGCCTACTTGTTTGCGTGCTAATATGCGTATAAAAATGTATCCGTAATAAGTAATAATTACCGTCTTTACTAGATGAAAAAACTTTTTTGTCCAATGAGATGACCCTTCACAACATTTCCGGCGTCCAGTGCCTGAAGTCCTGGGCATAGTCAAGTCGAGCTGCCTCATTCAGCTCGGTCAAATCGACTTTCTTGCTCGCGCTTCGGAAACGTAATTCCGTTCGTTTTCTAACAGTTCTTCGCACTGTTTCGTAGCATGCATTGATATTCATTTGTTGCGACAATCCCTTTAATGAGCTAAAAGGATTTGCAACAATGGCATTCTTTAATGCCTCTAAAGCGTCGTTGTCGATAACGTGGGGCCTGGAATTATGCCGGCGTTGATCACCAGCTTCTTGAGCGGCACCCTCGGCATTAAATTTCGTTGTCCATTGTCGGATGATTCTCTCCAAACAACGGAAATGGGCAGCTATCACATTGCGAGCCACATTTGCAGTAATCAAATATCGCAATACAGCGAGATTTGGCTCGTTCGGCTGAAACGGCATTGTTAAAAAAAAAAAAAAAACGTTTTATTGTTCACGAAACCGACACGAAGCGCGATCAATCCGGACTGCCTTGTGACGGTAAAAATCGGTCATTAGTGCAGAAGAATTTAGGGTTTCCCAGCTTATTCGCAAGTTAGCGGTGGGGGCAGCTACGGTGCGAATTTGCTAAATTTTTAAACTGCAAACGATAAGTCGCGCAAATGACGCGAAGGAGGGGGAACTTGGCGGCTCGACCTTAACGCACGCGGCTCGTTGCAAAAACGAATTCGTTCTTTTTACGCTTGACCACCGTGAAGACCACATCGCACTCTGCCACCACTATTTGTTTTAAAATTCTTCCAAGGATGAGGACTTTACAGCGAGAATTGTGCAGGGAGATGCGAACGCAGGTCATTTTATATGACCAGCGTCACAGATATATTGTGACAGTCGCGTTACGCGGTCACAGGCCTCTCCCCTCTTCAGCACGCAGTCCCACTGTGATGGGACATAGACACGAAAATGTATGTGACGCAGCAGCCGCAGCGACGCGCATGTGTGTAAGTGTGTGCGTGCGAGAGAGAGTCCGCGTGTCATCGCACGCGGAATCGCCTGTCTCCTTCTTCCTTACGGAGCAAGGGCCGGCTAATTGGTCACGTGACCAATCAGAGCGTCTTGCGAGCGCGTAAAGGGCGTAGAGACGGAGAGATACTCGGTAATCGTGGATGAGTAAGCATCGTGCGCGTTGCTCCGAATTCGACCGTGTCGCGAGATAATAATTACGACTGGACGCGACAAGTGCGTGACGCGAGATTCGCACGACTTGCGCGGGCGTATATTCGACGCGGGTCGATCGAGGACGAATCGGTGTATTCGCGAGAAGTATCTCCGACGAATTGTATTGTGAATTAGAATCACGTTAATTTTCTGTTATTGCGACTTCGCGAACAGTGCAAACCAGCAGCAGCCCACACGAGCGAGAGGGTCAAGCCAGCTGCGATTACAGCGAGCGGCCATTGACGGCATTCACCTACTGTAAGTACCTCTCGAGTACTCGACCTCTTCTGCGTGTGCAATCGCGTCTCAGTGTGATCGAGTGGGTGTGTCCGCGATTGCGAGGCTGCGTTCGTATTTGAAAGTCCATTCAATAAATACTCTATTATTTTACCATATTAATTCGCGAATTATTATTTCGGCAGAACCTTCCCGTTATTTTCATCCTAGGTTGGACCACGACGCCGCCGCGGTCGGTGCGAATTGTCGCACCGAATAACTGAGCCAGCCGGCGATCCGCGCGAAGACGCGCATCGCCTAGGATTACCCTGTGAATATCGTAGCGGTCACGGGAACTGTTACAATATATTATATCTGTGTATCACGAGTGCAAATGATGCATTAAAAATCTTGAGAAAATCATGTTTCTGTTATTCTGTCTTAATTTATGCAATATTAATTCATCCGCAACTTCTACAAAAACTTGTTTAAGAGGATCTTTTGACGGTGGTTGGCAAAAACAAGGAACTGGTCACACATATAAAAGGTATAGACATTTATTTTATTCTAGCTCAATATTAATTTCGAACCGAAAATTATGTATTACTTAATTTTATGTCACACTGCTGTAGTAGGATTCCACTTAGGAAAAATGTTATCCTACACTGTCTGCTCAAAAGACTGTTGGTTATGCTCGTTTGGTCATTCTCCACAAGATCATGATTGCCGGAAAAATCATACAGGCTCAGCAAAGTTCATGGAGACGAGTATGATGAGGAGGATGAGGAAGATGATGAGGAGGATGATGAGAAGGATGATGAAGATGATGGCGATAAAACTAAGGTAAAATCTAAAAATGTTAAGATCTCGAATACAGAAAAAAATGAAAATTCGTCAACGTCGTTAAAAACCAAACACAAGTACCTGATGTTGGCAGTCATGAGAATGTTAATAATGATGAAAACAAGAGTTGACAACACAGATGAAGCTTAACATCACTATATGTACCGGTGAAGTAACCACTCCCAGAGAAGAAGACATCCCAGGCATTATACGCGAAGCACACGACTCCACCATCGCCAGACACAAAGGTATAGTAAAAACCTATCCCCGAGTAAGAGAAAGATATTTCTGGCCGAACATGATGAACAGAATCCGGAATTACGTCCGGACATGCCATGACTGCCAAACCAAAAAACTTGCACGAGTCAAGACAAAATTTTCCATGAAGATAACGACTTCCGAGGAGATCAACGCGGCACTGGACGCTCTACTGGGCGGTCTGGTGTCTAAACGCGACCCTGTGAAATCTCTGCGGAAGGCATACGCAGGAACACAGGTGGCTGTGGTCGCACTCCCGGATGACCTGGCGGCCACAGCGCTTAAGCTCGGCCACATACGGATCGGCTGGGTGAACTGTCGCATCCGTGGTCGCGAGGAGGCTGCGCGCTGCTACCGCTGCTGGAGTCCTGGTTACATGGCCGCTCGCTGCAAGGGTCCCGACCGCACGGAGCTCTGCTATCGGTGCGGCCAGAAGAGCTATCAAGCAAAGGACTGCAAAGGCCAGACGGCGTGCGTCCTCTGCCAGGAGCGAGGAGCCGACGACGACCGTCACGCGTCCACAAGCTCCAGCTGCCCGCTAGCACGGAAGGTCACCCAAGCCCGCCGATGATGAGAATCCTCCAGCTCAATCTCAATCACTGCGAGGCTGCCCAGGACCTGCTCTGCGATACCATAAGCAAGCTGCGCATCGACGTGGCCATCCCGTGTGAGCAGTAGAAGAACCTCGCTCCACCCAACACATGGCTCGCCGATCCCGACGACCAAGCAGCTATCTGGGTGCAAGGAGGGAACCCAGTTCAAGAGCGCCCGACGACAGTGTATACCTACTTCTCGTGGGCCCGAATCGACGGAATTTTCTTTTTCAGCGTCTACGCTCCACCAAGACTCTCTGAGATTGAATTTTCCACCCTCCTTGCGAACATTACCGAGGAGGCCCGTGGCAAGAGGCCCCTTGTCATTGCAGGGGACTTCAACGCATGGTCGACGGAGTGGAGATGTAGGGCGACTAGACCGTGGGCTCCCATCCTGCTTGACTCGCTCGCTCTCCTCGATGCGGTGCTGCTCGACGCCGGCGACGTACCAACTTTCAACGGCCGACAGGGCAGCTCAGTCGTCGACCTGACCTTTGTTTGCGAGTCGCTTGCGCCTCGCGTATTATCATGGACGGTGAGTGGGTGGTACACACACAGCGACCATCAGGCCATCGTCTTTGAGATTGAGGATGCCGGGACTTCGACCAGGCCCTCGACGCGCCAGAGCTGCAGATGGAACGCCCGTACACTCGATGTGGACCGTTTCTCTGCCGTCGTGTCCGGCGCATCGGTTGCCCCCGGGACCGCGGAAGATATGGCGTCGAGCCTTATGGACATCATCACCGGCACATGTGATGCCTCCATGTCCAAGGCAAACCCACGCCGCCGTCGCGAGCCGGTGTACTGGTGGACGGCGGAGATCGCTGATCTTCGACGCTCTTGCCTGCGGCCTCGCAGACTCTTCCAGAGATCGCGTGGTTGGCAGGACGAGGATGCCCACAGCGCAAACTACGCCTCCGCAAGATGTCTACTGCGCGTGGCGATCGAGACCAGCAAGCGCCGGTGCTGGAGACAGCTTTGCGATGAGGTTGACAGCGACATATGAGGCAAACCATACAGGATTGCCATGTCACGCCTGCGATGTCCGCAGACCAGGCAGCCTAGCTCCCTTCTCCTGGTGCGCCACGCGGTGGCGGCTCTGTTTCCGCGAGTGCCGAACGGGCCCGCCTTGCAGCTGCCGCGACGGGCGGGAGAGCTGGTCCCAGCCGTCAGCTTGGAGGAACTCAAAGGAGCTTAGTCGAGGATCAAGGAGCGCTCGGCACCCGACCCGGATGGCGTGCTCAACATGGCGCTCAAGCTCGCTATTGCCGCGCGTCCCGACGTCTTCCTGCGGGTCTACACGACGTGCCTGGAGACCGGCGCGCCGGCCGTCTTCCAATCTAGCTGGAAGAGCCAGAGACTCGTCCTGCTCCCAAAGCCAGGCAAACCTCCCGACGAGCCGTCCTCGTATCGTCCGCTGTGCATGCTGGACACGGCGGGCAAGATTCTCGAGAGAATCATATGCGACCGGCTGGAGGCTTTTACAGAGAGACCCGGAGGCCTCTCGGAGCGACAGTATGGCTTCCGGAAAGGGCGATCAATGATAGATGCCATCGAAGACGTCATTTCCACCGACCGTGAGGCCATCGCCGGCAAGAGATGGTACCGCGGCACCAAGAAGTACTGCGCCGTGATGACACTCGACGTGAGGAATGCGTTCAATTCGACTCGGTGGGACAACATTCTCGCCGCTCTACGCGGTTTGTTCGTACCCGATTACTTGCTGAGAATAATTTCCAGCTACTTCTCGGCAAGAGTACTCGACTCCACCACGGACGAAGGTCCAGAGTCCTACGAAGTCACAGTAGGTGTCCCACAGGGGTCAGTATTGGGCCCGATCCTGTGGAACGTTATGTATGACGCGATCCTACGCCTCAACTTCGATGGCGATGTTCGTATCGTCGGCTTCGTGGACGACATCGCAGTGGTGGCTGTCGCCAAGCATCTATGGCAGATCGAACACGATCTTAAAGCTGCGATTCTACAGGTGCGAGGCGCGCTCCAAGCTCTCAGCTTACAAACGGCTGACCACAAGACGGAGGCTCTGCTGATCACAAGCAGGAAAAAAGAGGAAACCATCATCATCACGGTAGGCGACCACAGCTGTAGCGCCATACTTCGTATGACGTTACAATCGCGTACTCAACCTCGCGAATTCATACAATTTAAGCAGAAGAAAGAAAAACGCAACACAAGAAGACGCGAATAGACACACACATACACACCGAATAGACGACACAAAGCCAAGCACAGCAGCCGATACTGATACATAATCGATAATACGCGGCCTTAAAGATGCGCACGCAGTCCTTCCCGATGTGCGAGAGTCGCGAGCCGAAACAGCAGACAAGAGGAGTCACTCCTATCGTTGCCTCTGTAGAGTGCGTACGTGATAATACCCACGTAAGAATAGAATCATGGCGAGTGTGTGTGAACAAGGAAACTGCTAAGAAAGACGAGGTCCCCCAATCAACACCCGACGAAGACGAGACGTCCCCGAGCAACAATGTCGACGAAGAAAGAAGATAGTAAGGTAGTCATAAGAATATTTATATTGTAAAACGCGTCGAATGAACTCACTCCCTGAAAGAGTCTCGACCGGCATGTAAAAGTACGGATGAATGAATTGCAAGTATGCATATGAAATAATATGAATGCAAGAATGTTCGAATGACGAGAAACTATTACTCTTATATTTTTACGGTCCGTGCGCCGATAATCACACGGTGGCGCCCTTAATAGCATAAAGCAACGAACTGGCATCTTATTTTTACCTTCAATAAATTATTATCTTTTCATTTATTATTTAACCTAACAAACAGTATTATAATTATTTCGAGACGCCCAAAAACCCCCTTATACAGCATACGCTCGTCCCCCTCCATCCGCTACCTGGCCCTGCACATCGACGCCAAGCTGAAGTTCGATCACCACCTCCGAACAGTCAGCGCGAAGGCAGCAGGTGTGATCGGTGCCCTTACGAAGATCATGCCCAACTCTGGCGGGCCCAGAAGCAGCCGACGCAAGCTGTATGCTCACATCGTTGACTCCATACTCCTGTATGGAGCCCCCATCTGGAGCACAGCAGCACAAAAGCGAGCCTACATTCGCCAGGCGGAGTCAGCCCACCGACGAGACTGCCTGCGTGTGATCGGAGGCCGGCCGCATGTCTCTTACGAGGCCACATATGTCCTTGCCGGCATACCACTGCTAGCCCTTCTTGCGGACGAGCGAGCGCGACTCTACGGCCGCCACCGAGAGGACGCAAAGGACGAGGAACGCTTGGCAACGCTAAGCAAGTGGCAGGAAGCATGGGACCGGTCGACGAAGGCCCGATTGACGCACCGACTGATCACAAATATCAGAGTGTGGATCGAGAGGAGGCACGGAGAGCTGAACTACAACCTCACGCAGCTCTTGACCGGGTATGGCTTCTTTAAACACCATAGCCGACGCTACGACCACAATCAAAGCGCGCAATGCCCGGTCTGCCCCTCATCCATCGAGAATGCGGAGCAGGTATTCTATCACTGCCCGAGGTTCATCGAAGAAAGAGAGAGACTACACTCCCTGCTCCACGAGGTCGTGACGCCGGAAAACACCACCAGGCTCATGCTCGCGAGCGAGCCGAACTGGCTCGCGGTTGTTTCCTTTGCCTACTCAGTCGTAATAAGACTGAGAGACGAAGAAACAGACAGAAGGCGATGACCGGACGATGCGGCTGGAAGAAGACGCCACTCCATCCAAGCCTTCATGAAGCGCAAAACGCCAATCCCTCCACCCCCGTGAAGTAATGCTTAGCGGCGGTTTCCGTGGGGATGGAACAAAGGGAAATTGATGTGGATGTAACTACATAATCTATGTACAGACTAAAACCATATACTACATTTCTACTTAATGTAAATTTCTATTTTCTCTTTCTATTAAATAAAACACATTTATACATCCGAAAAAACACACACACACACACACACCCGGGCTATTTCATCAGCCTCCGAAGCGGTAAAAAACCCCGATCACTGTGCGAGCTGGAAGCGATAGGATAACCATAAGTAGGAGGTCTAGGTGAGGTTTATAGCCGCGCCGCGACTATAAAAGGCCGCGCGAATATCGGTGCGAAAACATTCGCTCGTCGAACGCCAACCGGTGCACATCTCTGAACAGCTCGAATTACCACTACGCCTCGCTAAGCAAAACAAGTTACAGTCGGTCGCCCAGTGCCAAGTGTGTTGTGTTATCGTAAAAACGTATCGTGTTTAAGTGTTAGTGTGCAATTACGCAAACAATAGCGTGTAAGTGAATTTGACAAAACAATTTCGCGACTAACACTGCAATCTCGTCTCGTTGCAAACGAGACTCTGCGTGTGTTAGAGTGTTGGTATGCAATTACGCAAACAATAGTGTGTAAGTGAATCTGATAAAACAATTTCGCGACTAGTACTTCAATCTCGTCTCGTTGCAAACGAGACTCTGCGTGTGTTGAAGTGTGGTGTTGTTTGAGCAGGAAAGGGTCGTGTGTACGTATACACGTTAGCACACGTTACGACGCGCGCCTCGCCGGACCGCGACACGACGTTACGACGCGCACCAGCCATCTGTTGCTGCAAGCCACGGCAGTTGACCGGACAATTGCAGCGGTATTTACGTGAGTGAAAAATATATAAGAAAAGATGAGCCACCGTAGAACTTCGACTAACTAATGTTTTCTTGTTACAGTTGTTAAGTATTTACCAATACAAAATGGCCGACAAATCAAAAAAGGGTTTGGTGGTGCTGAGTCGATAAGAGAACTGGCTGCGGTTCTGCGAGTACCTGCTCTACAATCACGCACTGTGGGACTTCGACGACGATTACCGATACGGGATTGCGTTCATGACCAACGAGTTGGTACTGTGCGCATTGCATATACTCTGCCACGGCACACGAGCTCGACCTCGTGCGTATTAGCCTGGACCGGCGCATTCGACAACTACAAGGA